TTCTTTGCAGCAAGCCCTTGATCATCATTTTCAGGAAATCAGTACTTGAAGTGTCTGTTCCACTGGGGACAGATTCCATGACACTGCTGGCTATTTGCTGAAGCATGTCCCTGAGGACTTCTTCGGTCCTCCAAGACGGAGAAAGAGTGACCCATGCGCAGATTGTGAAGTGTTTCTTCACCGCTGGATCATCGAAGACTTGCTTTATGAGGGTAGTCTTTCCCGAACCTCCCATCCCCACGACTGGAATTATTTCTTTCTCAAGAGGACCCTTCACCAACCGCTTCACCAGTTGCTCTTGGGGCTCTTCAATACCCACTAGATCAGCTTTTTCCAATAGAAGGGCATCTCCACACTGGTCGTGCCATGTGCTGGATATAGTAGAGGTGGAGCTCAAACCTTGATCTGCATCTTGTTTGAACGGGTAACACACCTTTTGATGTTCTTCACAGATAGTATTGACTTTAACACTTATGTCTCTCATCCGAAGCGTGATCCTTCTCCAAGCTTTCCAGTTCTTCACATAGCTATGTGACTTCTGTAGAAATTCAAGGAGTCCATGGCCTTGATGTTGCGCTTTCAGTAGCTTATACTCATCAAGAGCATCTTCGATGTCATCCGCAAGATTTCTTAGCTTCCTGACCGATTCTTTCGTGAATTGGCTACCCTCTTCTAGTAAATCTGCATCGCGTATGATGGCTTTAATGCGGTCAGAATCTTCTTTCACGGCATTTACTTCTTGCCAACCGTCTCTTACCTTCAGCACCTCATTCTCGACAAAGTTCATGGCCTTTGTAGCAAAATAGGTTAGTGGAGCAACTGCCATTCTCAAGGTTGGCAGCCTCAATTTGTGGTTATTACAGATGTTTGAGCATTTTCACTTTAATTCCACAAAATATCTGGATTATATACTGATTTTTAACTGCCAAATACCAGATTTTCTTGGTTTATTCAGTTGGTTTCTTGGGATACAGTATATTTCAATCTATTAACAATTAGACTAGCTTTCTTGTCTAGATGAGCATGCTCTTGAACAGGTCATGAAAATGATACAACCTTTGAATATGTTAATCTATATAATATCATTTTGAATTAAATTCTTGCGCATGGCCTCTTACTCAGATATCGAAAAGGAACAGAAAGAAAAAAAAGAGACATGATTTAGAAGAGTTGGTCAAGGGGGCAACATGCTTGTATGAGTAACCAGAATGCAGTAGCAGATGAAGTGTGATTATTCAAGATCAGAAGCAACATGTCGCATTCTTGCTGAGAAGATCATTACACAAAATAGGCACCTTTCATTGATCAAGTGACTCAGTTCTGATTATTTTAGCATCCGTCTTATTAGAGTGAGTTTATTTTATCAGCATGTTAGCATTCTGGCACTTTTCCAAGAAGATCGTTACACAAAATAGGCACCTTTCGTTGATGTGGAAGCGACTCATTTCTGATTACTTTAGCATCCTGTCTTATCTGAGTGAGTTCATTATCACAGGATGTCGCATTCTGGCACTTTTCTGGGAAGATCATTACACAAGATAGGCACCTTTCATTGATGTGGATGCGACTCATTCCGGATTATCTTAGCATGATGCATCTTATCTGAGGGAGTTCATTTTCTCATGTTCACATGTGAGTCGTGTTTCAAAAGAAACTTAAGGACTAGGCTAAAGTCAAAGCTAGTTTTCCTATTAACGGAAAGGTTCGAAGTTATCGACGCATGATCGCGGAACTTACCTCCTTCCTACTGCAACTATATCCATGTAACTTCAGTGTGTTTTTATGTTCTTATTAGATAGATGACTCTATCAATTCCTAGTTTGATGTCTCTTGCCTGGACCTGAGCGCACATGATGAAACATCGAACGCCTTCAGCTTTTGCTTTTAGCCATTGATCTACGTTCACTCCACTAAGCTTTCGGGCTGATAGAGAACGCAAGTGTAGTCTAGAGAGCAAGAACGACCGGTGACAGGTTTACCAGTTACCAGTCGAGCCCCGGGTTTTCAAGGCGACGGAAATCGGGACCGACTCGACGACGAGAGTTCTTGATAGGGGTAAACGAAAGAGGATGATATATTTGCATGCACGAGTTATGATTTCATAACCGCGGATTCAGTTTGGTTAATGCTCTGTAGTCTTTCACCTGTTAGGATAGTTCATTTTTCTATTCAATCTTATAGTACCAAAGTTTAGCTTACATTAATAATGCGGGGAAGCGAATTTTTCATTGCTCGTCCATTTTCATCAATCTCATAATTTTAGGACGATTACCAAATCAGTCCTAAACATGTTGTAGAGATGCCGATTCAGTCTTACACTTTCCTAATGTGGTCCTAAACCTTTGTGCAAAATTCCAATGTAGTCATGACCCCCCCTTGCCATCAGAAATTGCTGATGTGGCATCGCGTTCACCAGCGTGCCACCCGTACAACTTTACTTGAAACTACGTCCTATGTGGACTGCCACGTCGGCGATTTTTTGCGGCAATTGGCCAGAAGGATCATATTGGAATTTCGCACAAGAATTCAGGAATACATTAACAAAATTAAAAATTTTAAATCGAATTGGCATCCGCACAGTAGGTTCAATATTAGATTGGTAACTCCCCGTACTTTTTGTCGGCCCTTCTCTTCGCTGATATGGATGTGCACCTAACACATGATCTTAAAAAGATAAGACCATTTCAGGCATGTGATTAGAGAAATGTGGATTTGCTCAATGGACAAAAATTCTTCTCTGGCTCTTCAAGAATTTCTTTGTCGCTTATTTTGGTCGAACGAATGAAGTGAGCTAAAGTTCTCTTCATCCACATAAATCTACATAGATTAATCCCAAGATACTGATTTTGTCTCACTTGTACATATTACTCGATCACTATAACGTGATTTATGTTAGGAGAGCGCAGAAACCGTCAAGAGGGAGCCCAAATCCGAGAAAATGGGATGAGCATGTTACGACCCTCAATAGTGTTTGCTTTTTATTTACTTTCCCTTTTGCAGTGTAGTAATCCGGGAAAAATATGCTTTATCCGCTATTGTATAGATAGTCATTATTTAATAATGGGATAATGACACAAAGAGTCCCTAAACTTTGACTCAATGTGTAATTTAGTCTCTAAATTTTTAATTTGTTTAATCTAGTCCATGTACTTTAGCCTAATGTTTAATGCGGTCCTTAAACTTTTAATTTGAACTTTTAATTTGTTCAATTTGGTCCCTGAACTTTTAGTACATATTCAATTTAGTCCATGAACTATACGAAAATGTACAATATAATTCCTAAACTTGAATTAATGGAAGGACTGCATTGAATATTTTTATAAAGTTCAGGGACTATATTGAACAGGCAAAAGGACACCAGAAGTGCCACAACTTGTGTACGGCGATCACTTTGATGCCAACTTTTTTGAAAAACGATCATTTTAGTGCCAATGTTGACGTGGTTCGCCGGAAATCCGATGTGGCGCCGACACTGCTCGCGGGAGAGGTCCAGTTAGCATTAAAAATAAAAAACGACGCCGTTTAGCCCGCTGACGTGTACTTTTTTTAAAAAAAATTAAATTATATTAAAAAACAAAAAAACAAAAAAAAGGTTGCAGCAGCGGCGAGGGAGGCCTCGCCGCTAGTGCCGCCAACCCACCACCGCCGGGAAGGGCCGGCGGTGGTGGGCGCAGTGGTCGGCGAGGGTCGCCGACCCCTGGTCGAGGCCCGGCGACCCTCGCCTCGCCCAGCGAGGGTCGGATCCGGCGAGGCGAGACCTCGCCGTCGCGACCCACGCGACGGCGAGGTCTCACCTCGCCCAGCGAAGGCGAGGCCGACCTCGCCGTCGCCTGGGTCACGACGGCGAGGTCTCGCCTCGCCGGATCCGGCCCTCGCTAGGCGAGGCGAGGGTCGCCGGGCCCCGGCCAGGGGCCGGCAACCCTTGCCGACCACTGCGCCCACCACCGCCGGCCCTTCCCAACGGTGGTGGGTTGGCGGCAGTAGCGGCGAGGCCTCCCTCGCGCGCTGCTGCAACCTTTTTTTTTATATAATAATTATTAAAAATTAAAAAATTCAAAAAAAAGCTACATAATTTCCACGTGTACAAGTCAGACAATTTTTTTTTAATATAAATGCCAGGTCAGCTTTTTGGCCGGAGTCACTAAAGTGATCTATACTAAAGTGATCTATTTTCCTCCGACTTGGCACCAAAGTGATCCGAAAAAAAGTTATGGCACCAAAGTGATCGTCGTACACAAGTTGTGACACTTCTGGTGTCCTTTTGCCATATTGAACATGTACTAAAAGTTGAGAGACAACATTGATCAAATTGAAAGTTCTTGGACCACATCGAAATTTGGGTTAAAGTTTATGGACTACATTGAACAAATTAAAAGTTCAGAGGTCAAATTGCATATTGAGTCAAAGTTCAGGAACTATTTATGTCATTTTCCCTTTAATAATAGTAAAGTAACAGTCTTTTTTTGTTCAAAAGTCCCTTATTGTATTTATGAAGCATTATGATATATCAACTATTGGGATTAATTACCAAAACATTCTATTCCTTTTGACGAATCGCCGGTGAAATCCTCCCAGTTAATTTTGGCTGGAAATTGCTAACGTGAACATTGGCCATTCTACGTGGCACAGTCGGCACTAGCATTGATTTTCATAGTTTTTTTAATCTGTTCTTTACTTTTTTATTCTTCTTTCTTTCTTTTCCTTTTTCTTCTTCTAAGTCCGGCAAGGTTGTTGTCATTTTTTAGCACTGGTAAATTATATAAAGATTTGGGCTATGCTATATCGTTATATATAGTAATTGTCCGAACGTCACGATTTATATGAAAGAGAAACAAGGTGCGGACGGTACCGTCATTTTTCAGCATGTGATAATATCATAGGATTCCAATCCTATTTTGTTGACATTTGACATCGAAGTAACGATCAACAGGGACAATCAGAGGGGCATTTGTATTTCATAATCAGAGGCGAAATCTTGGACTTTATGAAAGACGAACAACTACAAAAGCATTTTATGAAAAGGGTGTCTCCATTGATTAAGAACGAAAGTTGGAGGCTCGAACTCGACTGTAAACGATGCCGACAAGGGGTCAGCCGGATATTGCTGATGAAGGCTCGGATCCACGAACCGGCATCATTTTTTGCAACTCTGACACTTTCAAAAATCGTCATTTACCATAACTTATAATCGCTCGTTGATGAATCACTTTGGGAATGTATTAACGATGTCATTAATGATGTGTTTCCATTGCCACGATCCGTCGTGATTCAAAAGATAAGATAAAATTACTCTTCATGACAAGGTTGCCTGGTGACTTCTCAGGTTTTCATTTTCTTAAGTTGGAGACGACTTTAACGTATGCGGCCGACCCCATGTGAACCTCGAAAAGCATTTAGAATAGAGAAAGATGGAACTTCTTTTCAGAGGGAGGCTCGAACCAGTCCCGGTCTACACCGTTCATCGTCGATCCCTTCTGGTGTGTGGAGAGCAGAGCCAACTGTAGACGATATACGGTGCGTTTGTTTCGTGGAATATAACTTATTTAGAAAACATTTTGTTAGAAAAATAAGGTACTTGTCATGAACTCGAGTCTCGGTCTTGCTCAGCCACGACCTCGGCCGCGACCCGTGAACTCGACCTTGAGCTCGGGCATGATCACTGTACTCGACCGTGACTTCAGCCACGATCAATAGCAGGTCACGATCGAAAGCTGGTTGAGTAGAAATTCGAATGATGCTTGCTTTCCCCAGCGGAAGGGCCGTGCGATCCAGTAACAGAAGGGAAAAGCTCAATTCACAAGCTTTATTAATGGAAGCAGCTTGTTCTGTAGTGATGGAGTTCCCTTGAAACCATGGAGTCTTTTCGATGATGGGGAGTTCCTCGGGTCATTGACAGGTACTTTTGCAACAAGGACGGAGATGATGAACCGATAGGTTCTCAAGAACAAGGGCCAAGGCATCAGCTAGAAACTGCATAACTTTCAACACGTTTCAATCGTGTGAGAGACTTCCTCCTAAGGTGAGTAATTTGAGGTTTCGTACAGGTTTAACTTAAAATTTAGAACTCACCCGTTGGAACAGGTTCTTCATTCATATCCTGGAACCTATAACTTACCTTGTTACAGGTTCCAGGATCGATTCCAGAGTCGATCAGAATTCCACATGTATTATTAATTAAACGATTACAGTGAATTATCACCTTTTATGATTACCACTTGCTGTTATAATTCACTGAATACAATTTATGTTTAAACACACGAAGAATATGAAAAATTAATAAAGTAAACAAGTAAATATCTCAGTCATAAAATGAAAGTTTAGACCAGTGGTTCTAAATTATACACTTATCACCAGAACCATGGAATATTGCATGATGGCACGAAGACATAGACAAAGAAAAATACAAAAACTTATTTCAGTTTTCAAGTGGAACCTAGAACTAGAACCTACCCATTGAAAGAAGTTTGAGCTTAGAACTTACCCTGCATACATTGAAACTTGGAACCGGATATGTTCCCACCAGTTCGGTTTTCCGGTTCCAAATTCTACTCTGGAACTATGCTCACCCTACTTCCTCCAACTATCTATTTATCTAAAGTTCTACATGTTATTATATATTTTTTAAAGATCACTGCCGGCGGTGATAGAATTGGGACATAATAAACTCTGGCAATGACAAGCGCGTGCAAATTGCGATACTATACATCTAAATACGACGATGGACATTATGATTGAAATTTGCATGCGTAAACTATGGCAATGAACAAATATTGAAATTTGAGAATTTACTAGCACGGAAAGATACAACGCGATGGTTAAATTGCGTCTCAACTCTTGAATACGGCAGGAACCTAAGACATAACGAGATTCGGAAGGCTCGCATGCACCGGGAGCATCGATCGCGGAGCATCTAAAAACACCACTCTCGTGCGCGCGCCGCCGCGGCACGAGTCCCCGATTCACATTGTGGATTTAACCGAGCCGTCGACGTTCACGAAATCCCTTATGATCTCCACCAGAGCCTGGGCCTTGGCCGGGTCGAACAGCTCCACCCCGTGGAGCCCGCCCTCGTCGAACCGGGTCGTCACGTCCGCCCCTCCCGCCTCCAGCATCCTCGCGAACATCCTCTGCCGGTCCACGAGCGGGTCCCCCGCGTGGCCCCTCACCAGGCACCTCGGGAGCCGCCCGACTTTCTCTCGCGCCGCCGTGCCGCCGCTGCCGGCCATCGGGTCGCAGTACTCGTGGGACCGGTCGGCGCCCTCGGGCAGGGCCAGCGACCACATGAGGTCGTTCGCGGGCAGGGGCAGGATCCGGTCGTTGCCCGACCGCAGCTCGGACTCGGTCCGCTCGACCCCGCCGAAGTAGGGCTGGTTCAATATCAGCCCTCGGATCCTGACCGGCGCCAGATCGACGTCCAGCGATCGCAGGGCCGCGTGGTAGACGATGTTCGCCCCGGCGCTGCTGCCCATCAGGTAGCAGCGCCCGAAGTCCGCGTGCTCCCTCAGCCACGGGTCGCCGCCGGCGGCGTCCAGCGCCTGCGACCGGAGCCACGCGAGGGCCGCCGCGGCGTCCAAGTAGGCGGCGGGGAGGCGGTGCTCGGGGGCGAGGCGGTACTCGACGGAGGCGACGACGGCGCCGAGGGCGGACGCTGTGCGGCAGCAGGAGTCGTGGAACATGCGGGAGGCGGCGCTGAAGAGGACGAACCCGCCGCCGTGGAAGTAGAGGACGACGGGGAGCCGGGCCGCGGCGGCGGGGGCGGCGGAGGCGGCGGAGCGGGGGAGGAAGAGGCGGACGAAGGTGGAGTGGGCGGGGTGGTGGGGGAGGAGGAGGGGGACGTCCTTGGAGAGGGCGGGGTCGGGGGAGTCGGGGGCGGAGGTGGCGGGGGCGGACGGCGGGGAGGAGAGGCGGGTGACGGAGCCGTCGGGGTTGGGGGAGAGCTTCAGGAACTCGTAAGGGTCCATGTCGGTGGTGGCCGGGCGAGGAGAACGTGCGATGGGAACGTAAGACCGAAGACTGCGTGGACGAAGATGACGAAGAAGAAGATGAAGAAGAAGAAGAAGAAGAAGATGAAGAAGTGTGGGGAGGTTAGGTGGAGCGAGGAACGACTTTTTCGCGCGGTTTTTAATGACTTGAAGTCGATTTTCTTTTTCTTCTTTTTTCTTTTTCCTTTTTTTTGTGGTTATGGAGATTGGAAAGAGACACGGATTTTTTAGGGCCGAATAAGTTACAAAATTTTAATTTTGGAAGATATGGGGGCCATATGCCATTAGGGTAACTCGTAATATACTATTGTGGGTGGCCGAGTGATAATGACGTCATTAATCGCGGGTTATATGTGAAATTGAAAAGGTCGACAAATTTGGAAAAGAGAATTTGTTGAGATCCAGCAGAAGGACCGGACCCCTTTGTTATTTATTGCTCATAACTTCAATCACGGGCGTTGCATGTTATGTGGAACAGTGGCATCTAACAAGACAGTTGGTTCGGTCTCGTTGGAGAGGTGGGGGGAGGTGATGATGATGCTGATGTCTCACCAACCGCCATTAATTATATGGTTGGCGAAAATTATTGGCAGAAAAAGAGAAAATAAAAGGAGGAAGAAGAAGAAGAAGAAGATGATGAAGTAGCAGCAGCTCGGACTCGGAAATGAAGAATTAGGGTTATGGCTATTGAAGAACTATATATTAAGCGATGTCAAGAAGAACCGAATGTTTTTCACGCAAGTGAGAGCTACCCAAATAAGGGACAAGCGCGACAATGGATTCGATGGTGCGACTCGATGGGACACGAAAAGTCGAAAGGTCCGATGATCTCGAATAAACTTATGCACGGAATGCATAACGCGACTGCCCAAGCGACGATTCCTTGTGCTACAAATACTTTTCTTTCATGAGATTCGGGATCGTTTTATGGTAACGTGATTCGCTTGGGGATGGGCGTTCGCTTGGTGTTTCTCTAAGTGCACTTCTCTAAGTACACTGCTCCTGTCTCAAGTGAGATTTGTGGAATAACAATTCACTTTGTGATTGAACTCCACGGGTGACACCAATAGGCAATAGCCAATGCGCAAGGAGAAGGAAAACAAATCAAAGCTTGCTCGTCCATAATCCATATGCTCAGTGTAAAGCCCGGCGTGGTCATCGAAAAGCGCGCTAAAGTACAAATTAGAGCAATTTATGGATTGGAGCGCGCAATGATATGCAAAGAGTCCTAAATTTCAAGCATCGAGTCAGCCGGAATTCATGTCACACGAGCAATGCGACTAGCTAGTTTCATGGACCTAAGGTGAGAAGAATGTTTTCCTCTACTAGTCATCAAAGCATATTTTGTATGCAGATGAATTCTTAAAAGTCAGCCAACTCCAAAATTCTAGGTTTTGGGATGAGAAATAAAAACCAAAAATGAAGGACAGCGAGATGCAACAGAGAAAACCTTTCTTCGTGATCCCGGAAAATTCAGGTTTCATTTTTTGTTGTTCTTTATCAAGAAACTGCCTTATCTTGAATTATCAAGTGTGACCGATGCAGAACGTGCGGAACAAACCACATTCAATGGATAATAAATCTAGCACGTGCTTTTCTTGAACTTGAAGTTACTTACGACAGAAGCTACAAGACGCAGGATGATACAGCTTAACTAGAATAAGCAACAGCGATTACTTTGCAACCAAATTCCAAAAGGAGCAGATGGAACAGCAGAAAAGAGAAGGAGAATGATCCTAATCAACGGAAGAGAAAACAGATGCTGATAATTCACAAAGGCAGCGTGTATATAGACACTACCGTGGCTTTGCACCGCCATTTTCTTGGGAGCTGTTAGCTGGGGTAGAGGTGCCACTCCTCTTGGAGTTGCCAGATTGTCCCGTGATGGTCCGTCCCATGAACTTCCCAGCTTTACTCAAGCCACTTCCCACAGCTCCGAGGCCGCTCCCAACCATCCCAGCTCCAGCACCGAGCCCACTTCCGACGACCCCAACCCCGGCACCAATGCCGGTCCCTACGAGCCCAACCCCAGCACCTATACCCGTACCCACCAACCCGACGCCAGAACCCACCAATCCGACGGCTCCATCAAGTGCGTCCATGGTACTTCCTATTACTCCTGCTGCTTTCAGTTTCTTTCTCTCCTCCAAGATCCTCTTCTCTTCTTCTAGAGCAGCTTGCTGCTCCTCCTTATTAAACTGGTGGTATAAAACCTGAAAGATGAAGCGTGACAAGAACAATATAAATGAGCCTCCATGGAAGTGAAAAAAAACAAGAACAGCAACAAGGTAGGTTCTAGCATAATGGGGAGAATCACTTTGATTTGAGGCTATCAAGAGAGTGCACTAAAAATCAGGGTCCATGAGTTAAAGTAACTTGCATTCCAAATGACCAAGGCAAATCAGTCTACCTTGACAGTTACTGTCCCTCTGTCCTTCTTGTCCTTTATCTTCAGCATATCAAGCGATGGAAGCAACCTCAGCTCAACTTCTTTCACCACATCAGGTTCCAGATCGATCATAGGTAATTTGGCAATTCCCAACCGCTTGTCTTGACCGATGTCTTTATCAGAAACCTGTCCAAGAAGCCCTCTAAGCAAACAGCATAGTGATAAACCAATAATTCGTGCATAAGAGTAGAAACGTGTGGATGTAAAAGGGAGTATGCCCACACACAGAGAAGGGAGGAGGCTGGGGGGAGGACAAATGGCAGAACCTAAACACAACTCAACATGATCAAGATTGCCACAAGCAGACTATAATGAACTCGTAGTAGATAAAAGCTAATACATCCAGGACAGTCACACCAAACCTCAAGGCAATAATTCTCATCTAGACAATCTCTTTTGTTGTTGCCCGCCTCTTTCCTATGTTATTCCATGTTTTAATGTCTGTTCCTGCCTTCTATATTCCATTTGATGTGATTACGTCCCCGGGACCCATTTCCTGACGACTAACAATAAATTTTGGAAAGGAAATTCGCCCAATAATACTAAGCTTTACACAAATATTGAATCCTTCAAGTAAAATGAAACAACAGGCGAAAATAAATTTTTAAGGGATCAATACAGAAACCAACGATCTCGTCAAACATCAAGACCATCAAAATCATGCAAAAGATGGATTTACTTTCAGAAAAAAGTATCATATTATGTACTGAGATTCATTGCTCGGCAGCAACACAACTCTAAATCTTAGAATTGAAACACCCCAACCCTCCGACCACCCCCCCCCCCCCCCCCCCCTCCTCTTTCTTACATCCTAAAAGTTTAATCTCGAACAAATCATAATAAAAGTCAGCACAAGAGATGTACAGGTTCTTGGATCTGGGAAAAAAAGAAATTCTAATTGGTTCGCATCAACCTAGTGAAACTTTTACCATTTGGAAATGTGATGTATTAGACTCTGCCAGCTATGCAGCTAAACCTTCCAAAAAGTAAAACTTCAACTTGATTTTAAGAGTTATGGACAATCCGGAAATTCCATAAAATACTCTAAACGCCTATTGAAGCTTAGCATTTCATGGAACTGGGGACAGATCTAGCTCACGAGGTTCCCCAAATTCTTGGCCAAAACTCTACTTTAGCTAAAAACTTGATCTCATTGATATTCTTTCCATCTAGAAACAAACAATGGCGTTGTACAGATAGCCACAGAAAGGAAGAAATTGTGCTGACAAAACAAAGAACCCATTGCGAGCTTCTCATTAGTTAATATTAACTAGTATTCAAACACCGGCATCTTCGACAGCAAATGAAACCACACAAAATTCCAAAAATAAGGAAACTTTACAGCACATGCACTTGCACAGAGGCAAACAAAGAGATTAAGGACAACCATGAAGATAGAATTTAAGCAGAAATCACAATAAGGCAGTGCTCCTACTCTGGAAGACACAGCATGCACCGAAGTGAGAAAGACAATGATGCATATAGTGAGAAAAAAAAAGAGGTTAAGAAGAGGATTTGATGCAGAACCTCAACAGTAAGAAACTGAGTCTCCTTGTCTTCTACAATAAGCTCAAACGTTTGGTTCCAAACAGGATTAAGGTTGTTATCTACAACCTTTGTTTTAACTTTAAACAAAGGTCGTATATACACAACAACGTATGGATCTGACTTTCCAATCATTTCCATGTTCTTCAGATCATTTGCTTTAACCACCGTAACATTAATCTTCCCTTGCGGTTTAAGTTCTAATTCACTGCATAAACAGAAAGAGTGTCATATACAAGCCAAGACCTAGAACCAAGAAAGAACCCAACAAGAGAGAATTAGAGCTTTTATGAGATATATACTAAGAAGTAATAAAGGGAACCACCGGCATGACATACAACTTGAAGATGCAATGCAAACATAACGGATTATGAAAAGAACATTCACCACTACTGGTAACTACCACCATTTATATACCACCATCGGCATGAGGCCACAAAAGTATAGGTAAAACTTGCTATCAACCAATTTACAAACTTGAGCTTACTGATGAGTACACTGGTACAAAGAAACAATACATTATCATAAGAAAAGAGAAATACCCTCCTTCACCAATGAGGAATATTAGTTAATGCTAACACGTGGAATAAACACCAGAAAAACCAAGCTAGGATATTCTTGCTTTAATGAAATTGAAACTTTTCCTTGCACACATAATTCAAATTTCCAGTCAAACGCATAAGTCCAAATACTTGAAGTTCTGCACACTGCTGAGAATTAGTTTTCTCCCGAGTACATGGTAAAAACATTACTTCTGATGAAGATTGACATTATGGAAAACTCGGAGTGAGAAAAGACCAAGAATTGTCTCCTTACCTCGTGTCTACCGGAATACCCCCAATTGGAACAACAATTCTGTGAGGCCATTGAAGCATATCTGTGACAATCGAATTTACAGTATCCTGCCAAATTTAGAGGTAAACAAATGAATGAATCATACTAATCGCTCTTAATAAAAGAATCAGCGAGAAGAAAGACAAGTTTGGGCGATGAGTTTGGTAAAACTTACATCAATCATGTCGGAAAGTCCTGGAATGGCTGTTAAGCTTCCACCAACTGCTTTAAGAGTGTAATCAATCCTAGGCTTGGGCTATTGGCACAAAAGTATCAGTGATGTCAGGGAAACTACCTTTGTAAGTCCAACTAAATATATATAGCTAAATGAGATCTTATCTTTCCAGGGAACATATCAAACATATGAATTCATAATGAAGGGATTCGCTTAATTAGTTAGAAAAATTAGTCATTCCCAGAACAACTATAGGAAACAATAATTGCTGCAGAAATAGGCAACCTCCAGTCAGCTATAGGAGGCTCCAATACAAACACATTATGGGCAATATCATAAATGGGACAAAAACAAGCAAACAATACTTTTTACTTCAGAAAATTAATATGCTAGAAAAAGGGGAAAGTTTAGGCCCACTTTGATTTCAGAGAATTCTCAAACATGTTTCAGCAAAACATATTCTTCTCTGTGTTGTGAAACTGGAGGAGTTTTTTGTTTTAAGCTTCTATAAGGGTTCATGAAACTTCCTTGAAATTTCATTTGAAAAAAGAGAGAGAAAGGAGCAAAAGATGTCAGTAATTCAATTGTATTTTTTCTACGTTTATACGACAATTAACATTATTAAATCTGACTTTATAACGTCAGCACTAAAAAGATAAAAATGTAAAGACATAGCCAAACATGTTTTCCAATTTTCTTTTCTATGGAGTATCCTCATATTCATTCACCAAATGCCTTTTCAAGAAAACACAAAAATTAAAATTGAAAACTGTTTTCATTTTCATTATCGTGAAACTGAAAAATACAGTCAGTTTCCTTCTCAAACTTAACTGTCACAAATACAAAGTTCAGCCGGTACTAAGTCAAGGGTCCTTCAAATAAAAAAAAATAAAATCCTACAATCATGCACAAAAGGTGCATTCTCAAATACCAACAGTAATCCTATACTAACCTCAGAAAGCAATGCCACAACAACCGCTGAAATGCAAGGTATCTCTTCAGCAAGTTGGAAGATGACACGAACTACAGTAAAAACTTGAAGATCTTTCAACTGTCAAAAAGCAGAAATGGTGAGAAAGCATTATCAAAATTGCATGTCTCAGATCTATAAATCAGCTTGAATACACACGAGTCTTGAACTAAAGGTACGATAAAAAAATGCTCAGGCTAATACACCACACCAACCTGAATGGGTATCGAAGCAACAACTGCAGCTTCAACTCCTAGAATGATGCTTGGATCACCTCCCCATCGGAAATCAATGTCCATTATGATCTGACCTTTCTTAAGACTCTGAACACGAATACCTAAGTAATTACACAGCAGATATACTTTAAAAATAGGATCTTCAAAATACAAATCAACGAGGATAGTGGGCAAACATTACTGGTGATAAACAAAGCTTAAAATATAATCGTATAAAGGAATAACAAGTCAAAGGAGAATAGACCATTATTTAAAACGGCTTAATAAAAGAGACCGACTATAGAACGACTTCACACCAGCAAAATGAGCAATAAACATCGAAATTAGCCTCAGTCTCAGACCAAAAGAATACTGAAGTGAAACAAATTGATGTTTTGAAACATTCAGGCAACCAAATGGCGCAAAACCATAAGAAGGAAATCAGAGGAGACAATTACAACAGCGATGAAGAAAAGTATGATAGAGGCAAGTTATAATTATTTTAAGACCTTGTTGCACAAAATAAAACAAATTTGAGGTTTAAACGGAGTATCTTTCAGGAACTATAGTCCGACTCTTGTCAAAGTCAGAAAAAAAGAAAATACAATCCAGTAAAGCTCAAAAGCTAATCTTGGATTCAGCTTAATGATCGACACTAAAGCTAACTACAAGTAAGCAAGGGAGACATATGAGTTCAAGAAGACAGAGATGCAGCAAAGATGGCACATTTACTCAGTACCTTCAATTTTCGGTGCCACAGTTCCTAGGGAAAGCTTGCTGAATTTTAATGAAGTAATTCCCGGAGGTCTGTAATCTTCCAACAATGGCTCCACAGACTCCTTAATCACCAACGTAGCCGCCTGAGGAAGAGAAAGCAAACGTTTTACTTGAGCTGAGATAAAGTAAACTAGCAGTATGAAGACTGATAGTACGTTTCATCTTTTGACAAACCATTCCTCTCTTGGCTCATCTCAATCAGTCAAAGATACAAACTATCATATGTAAAGCAAAACTTTCAAGTGAGAGTCAATGTAACAAAGATCAAAGAAATCCAAATCCAATACACTTTGGGGGTATCAAATCCAACTGCAAATTTCCACACCATGTCTGCCATTGATACTATTTTTAAAGTCATTGTGTGCACACGCAAGCTTCAGAACTTGGTGCCTGTCAGTGCGTTCTATTGCCAGAAAAGGTGCTTCATCAAAATGCACAAGTACAAGATGCAGCTTACTATGCAATAACCCATATGTGCATATAAAAACACAGATAAAGTATATTACCTCAGCAACGAAGGGCCACAATTTGCTCAGTTGCTTGTTCAGCCATTTCACCTGTGAGACAATAGGCACATGGAACAATGTCGCAGCAGAGTAATAGCATTACAAACCACATCGAGAGGAAATTTAAAATCACAGGAGAAGCCTTTCTAATCACAAGTCACAGAGTTGTTCTAGAGCTCCACATAAGGATATCCAAGGATTATAACTATCGCTAAGGAAAACACCATCTCGAATTCATCATGCCGACTGATTCACAAGTAATATGCAAAGAAAAGAATTATATCTCTACTGCTGAAAAAAACAGGCAGAATAGGCCATGGAATACACATTCAAGATTATATCCAATCTTCAATATTTAAAGAGAAAACTCCCGGAAAAAGAAGCCAACCTGCTCAAAAACTGGAAAAGATATCCATTCTGGAAAGTTATCACCACAAATCTTCTTCAAATCATCTCTATTGAGGGACCCCAGTAATTTGATGTCGACAGCCTACAAGACATATAAAAAATTGCTACACTTTCCTGGAAACGTTGATATAGTGTTGGAAAGAACCGCACATTCAAGAAATTGAGCTGCGCAAAATGTTCATGTACTAACTGAAAATCTTCCACAAACATCTTCCAGGGCAAGATCCACACTGTAAAATATAAATGCACCATAGAGAGGAGACACCAGCTATGAAAGGGTAGTTAAATATAGAACAAAAATCATTGAGACGGGATGAAAATGAGTAAAGAGCCTCGAGAAAGCTGCATAAGCTTTCTAACCTTCCTTTTCTAAGCCACATATGATCCGAAATCTAAAAGCTGGTGTCTTCATTTATTAAGTGAAGTTGGTGTATCTTTATCGTTGAAAATTTATCCCATTCATTAGGGCATCAAAAAGAACTTGCCATGCCATCTATCAATTTTACATATCATTTCAAACAGAAGACTTTGGAATTACCAGAAGAAGATAGTTCTCAACTTCAGCTCGAACTAAAGAATAGCTTATGTGATTTCTCTAGAAACTAATCAATATATTGAACTATATTTCACATAACTTCTGTATTTCAGGTAACTTTCAAAGTAACCCTGTGCATCTCATCAACACAGTGAGTACCTGTACTTTACACATTGGTAAAAATACGTATTGTCTGACTTCTGTAAGACAGAATTTCTAGCAGAAACATTCGAATTCCTAAGCCACCAAATCGAGTCTTAAAGCTTAACAGATGTCGGAAGAGCTATTTTGACCAAAATTTCTAGACTCCCCTCCTATGGTACGCACGCATAATCCAGGGTATTCGACCATCACGTCGACCCTGGAATATCTTGTTCGTTCCGTCGCTGTAAACCCATTTCGCCTGTCGAGAAATTCGTAAGGAATGCGGTTTTATTGAGACAAAGATAGGCCAAAGGCTCTACTTTTTGTATAAAGAAGATGGGGGAAGGGATGGCTTTCCCAACAAACAAGTCCGAATTTCGGTGCCCTGAGATTGCTGGGAATCAAAAGAAAACATCGATGACCCATACAACTTCTCAGAGCCAGATGATAATTCAGTCCTCATAACTCTCCTAGCACTGAAGACACTGAGAAAACCACATCTCGGAAAAGACGCCGCAATTCCAAAACAGCCCACCCGAACTTGTTCCCACCCGGGAAACGAAACCGGAAAAGCCAACAGAACCGCTCCACTTCTACGGAGTGTTTCATCATCATCATCATCATCATCCAAAAATGACGAGCGAAACGAACGACGCCGCGTCAAGTCAAGGGAAAAACCCGACTCACCTTGGCCGTGCGCTTGGAGCCGCGATACCTCATCATGTGGCGCCACCCCGCCATGATCGCGACGCCGAAGATGGCCCCCATGAGAATCCCCGAAATCAGCCCCATTCTCCTCCCGACCTCCTGCCAAAAAAAAAAAAAACCACCCCCGAATTACCAAAAAACCAAACCGCCGCGGGGGAGAATTCCCCGCTCCGACGGAAGCCCGAGGAACCAGAAACGCAGGAATCCCCCCCCCCCCCCGCCGCCGCCGCCGCCGCCGCCGCAGCAACAGCAAGCGCACAAACCGGCTCTGGAGAGAGAAAGAAGAGAGAGAAGGAAGAGAGAGAAGGCAGAGAGATGGACTCACTGGCGAGAGAGAGGAACGCAGGGGGGTGGGGGTGGGGGTGGGGGAGGTGGAATTGAGAGATCCGGCGGGCGGAGGAAGAGGAAACGGAAGCGATCGGACGCTAACGGAAACTCATCACCACCATTAACTCTCTCTCTCCTCTCTCTCTACTCTCTCTACTCTCTAGAAAGGAGGCAGTGGAGGAAGGAGGAAGATGAAGGAGAGGATGAAGGAGGAGGAGGAGGAGATGCAGGAGGCGTCGGTTTCACAGCGTGCGATGCGGAAGCTGGCGAAGATATTATTAATGGCGTCCCCCCTCATGACATTACTCTCCACGGAAGAAGGAGAAGAAGAAGTAAAAAGTTAAAGACGTCGGCCACAGGCCAGGGGGAGGGACAGGGAAGAGTGTGGCTCTCTTTGATTTCTCTCCCACTCCTCCGCCCCCCACTTTAATTTTCCATTCTTTTTCGGATTTCTTTCCTCTCTTTGCTTCGCTCTTTTTTGACTTTTTTCCCAAAAAAAAAATTCTTATTCTTTCCTCATTCTTTGGGCAATTCTGTCCTCCTCCGTCTATGGATTAAAATTATCAAAAAGCTCCCACGTTTTTTGTCTTGGGTCTGCTCTTTCTTCTGCCTCCCTTTTTTGTTTTTTCTCGATATCGGACGTTAATTAATTGCCAATCAGGAACGGTCCGAAAATTGGGTGAAATTCACGGGGCCTCCTTCGAACCTTTTCGGCCCGACCGGCTCTCTCGCCGGTGCACATGAACTGCGCCGCTTGCGCGTATATCGGGGGGTAAAAGTTGTGTATCTCTATACGATGAAGCCAATCGATCGTAAATTATGTTCTTACGATCGCTTCGTTTCTTTAAGGGATAATGACACAAACAGCCCCTGAAATTTGACTCAATGTGCAATTTGGTCCCTGAACTTTTAATTTGTTCAATGTAGTCCCTGAACTTTAACCTAATGTTCAATTTGATCCCTGAACTTTTAATTTGTTGATGTTGTCCCGAACTTTTAATATGTGTTCAATTTAGTCCCCGAACTATTTGAAAACGTTCAATATAGTCTTCCATTAATTAATGGAGGACTATATTGAATATTTTTATATAGTCGCGACTAAATCAACACATATTAAAAATTCGGACAACATCAACAAATTAAAAGTTCGGACCAAATCGCATATGAAAAAGTTCGGGACTACATCAACAAATTAAAAGTTCGCGATCAAATCAATATCGATCAAAAGTCATTAACTGTTTTGTGTCATTTTCCCTTTCTTTTACCTAATCAAATCGCGATCTCACCGAATCATATCTCGCGCTTTCCCGATGCGCACGGGGATGATATTTCTTGCAAACGGGGAGGGGCGTTTTTGTACTTCTTCCCCCCCCCCTCGGATTTAACTCTTCGCCGATATTGATATTCCTTTTTTAAATTTTAATTTAATACTATTTCACCTCTTTTTGTCGCGTCCCCTTCACTGATGATGAAGGGGTCCCGAATCCTCTTTTGTCTCAATGCGTTTTTCTTTTGTTTATTCCCCCACACCTTTTTCTTCTTCTTTTTCCGTGGTTGTGGATAAGGAATCGTGTCCCGACAGCGAGAGGTAACATGCAACCGTCGCCAAAAGAATCGCCCGTCTAGGAAAGTCAATATTTGCATAATTACTAAGACAGTGCAATACATATAAAAAAACAATAAATAATTGTATGAACCGTAGATATATATATGTAGGGTTAATTTTTAATTAAATTGGGATTTTCGAAAATTATAAGATAACTCCCCGGTTACCAACTTATCACTCGAGACGGGGTAAAGTTATTACATGGATCTATGAATCGCGGTATTAATATGTGAAAATTAATAATAAAAAAAAGGAAAAAGGAAAGTTTTGCGAGAGTGGAAATTCACTTTTTTCAATAAATATATGACCAAATTATTAATAACCAAAATAAAAGGGCTAGGTCAATCACTTTGGGTGACTTCGAATGGGCAAAAGGACAATACATTGCTACGGATGGACAGTGAGAACGCAAGCCATCTTATTCAAAATTCTCGGGTGTGTTGTTGACCCGCGTGGAACCCGCGTGAGAAGATGCGAACCCCATGCACAAAGCAACGAGACAAGACGTGATTGGATACGAGGCGTGCACTGCCTCGACTTATCGCGGCATAAGTCGGCAGAGATCATTGAAAGAGTTATCCCACAAAAAAGTCCCGTGCGACTGCCGGTGCAATCACCTATATTCTTTAATTTGGCTAATTTAACACTTTTTTTTTAACGATTTTTCAATCTAATTCTTTCGGCCAAAATCACTTAAGTAGACAAATCGTCTTCTTTTCTTTTTGGGTTAATACCACCAAAAACTCCAAACTGGTACGCGTGTGACAATTTTATCCCGAACTTTTTTTTTACCACAGAAAACCCCAAACTGGTACACCTGTGACAATTTTACACTGACCATACCACAAAAAATCTCAAACTGATATACCTATGACAATTTTACCCCGACTATGTCACAAAAAACCCCAAACTGGTACACCTGTGACAAATTTACCCCTCACTATTTTTTTGACCACCAAAAACCTCAAACTGGTACACATGTGACAATTTTACCCTGGACTAATTTTTTAATATTATTTTTAATTTTTCGATTTTTTTTATTTTTTCTTTTCTTTTCCTCATCTTTATCCTCTGGCCGGTTGCCGGTCCAGAAGGGCGTCCCTCGCCCGATCTAGCGAGGGCGACCCTCGCCCGATCTAGCGAGGGCGACCCTCGCCTGGGTGGGCGAGGGCAGCCCTCGCCCGACAGGTGGGCGAGGGCGCCCTCGCCCCCGACACCCGGTGAGGGTCGCCCTCGCGCCAGGCGGGCGAGGGCGGCCCTCGCCCGGATCCGGCGAGGGTGGCCCTCGCTTTGAGTCGGGCAAGGGCCGCCCTCGCATGGACATCGGGCGAGGGTGACCCTCGCCTCGCGCCGTCCTTGCCCGACTCAAGCGAGGGTCGCCCTTGCCTGGGCGAGCGAGGGTGGCCCTCGCTGGCTTTGACCTCTAGCCGATCGCCGGTCCGGCGACCGGCCAGAGGTTGAAGATGAAGAAAAAAAAAGAATAAATAAAATCAAAAGATAATATTAAAAAATTATTAGTTCGGGGTAAAATTGTCACAGGTGTACCAGTTTGGGATTTTTGGTGGTAAAAAAAAATAGTTCGGCGTAAATTTGTCACAGATTTACCAGTTTGGGGTTTTTTGTCGTAAATTTGGGATAAAATTGTCACAGGTGTACCAGTTTAGGGTTTTTGATGGTAAAAAAAAAGTTTAGGGTAAAATTATTACAGGTATACCGGTTTGGGGTTTTTGGTGGTAAAAAAAAAAGTTCGGGGTAAAATTGTCACATGCGTACCAGTTTAGGGTTTTTTGTGGTATTAACTCTTTCCTTTTTTTTTCTTTTTATTGTTTTCCTTATTTTCCTCTCTTCCTCCCTTGGCTGGCCAGACGTGGGCAATGGCCGGTGAGCCCTCGCCCTCCTTGGCGATCATCTTCTGCCCGCCATCGCCATCGTCTCGTTGATCGACGGAGGCAAGAAAGATTTCGTCTTTATTTTTCAAATGAAAAACAAAATCCACATATTAATGATTTCAACATAAAATTTAGATTTAGCGCATGGAATGAAACGATTGAAACTTAAAGTATATGGTAGAAACCTAAAATCTAAAAACATAAATTCGCCAATTTTTGAAGGATCTCATGTTCCCGAAAGGATTTCTTAATCCGGGTTTAGGTAATCTATTAGATGATAAGTTGCAAACTAATCTATCTTATCCTAAGTCATTTGAAAACCTAATCTTAGGTATCGATAGAAAGTTTATTTAACCACCTAAACCGAAATAAAAGCAACCATTAGTGACCCCCCAATGCTCTTTTGATACCATAGTTCTTTCGTCAATTGAGTTCTAAATATATTCGACATTAACTTGCTAAGTGCAGATTAACATGCATAGCAGTAAATTTTCATCTATGCATTAAACACTAAAAATTTGTAAAGATATATAAACGTCAACAGACATAGTCAGTTTAGTTTATTTACAATATTTCAACTTTTAAATATTCTTTTTATGGGACATTTTTTTTTGGTTTGACTTTAAGCAAAACCAAAAGGGGAAATCTTTATGAGTTGATAATAATCTAAGAAATCATACTAAAGAGAATCATAAAAGCTCAAATTAAAAAAATTAGCTATAAAGATGACTTCAAACACTGAACTTATTTATTTATTTTTTGTTCAATTGGCTTCCTAAAGCGTACGTTTTTTTTAATTGGTCTTTCAGTTAAACAAAAAAATGGAAACGCGAGGTCGATTGACTCATAATTATCGCGTCAATGCTAACCGGATAATTTGTTTTTAGGTATTAACTATATAAAATATTTGAATTTTTTTTTTTTAAAAAAACCCCAAGAGAGATGTAAAGAGAGAAGACAAGGGAGGTAGCGGCGTCGACGCCCATGCATAGGCGAGGACCGGCGAGCCTTGTTGGCTATCTTTGGGGTTGGATATCATAGTGGATGCATGGCCAAGGTCGTGTGACCCCAATGAGGGCCAGATTTAACTTAGGTCTCGTTAATTGGGCTAGATTTAGGCTAGCATCGTGTGACCACGCCAGGTGTGGTTGGAGATCGCCCGACTCAGGTCTGATCGTTTTTTCTTTCAAGTTTCTTTTTTTCTATATTTTAATATGTATTTTTTATATATTCATTATTTCTAAGTATTCCTTGTTTTTAAAAATACTACGTAAAAAGCCACGTTAGCATTTCCTTTCATAATTTTGACAAAAAGATAAATTTGAATTAAAAAGAAACATATAGCTTACAGATCCCATTACATAGGAAAAAAAAGAGTTAAGCAACCTATTATTCGAAGGGTTAATACCACCAAAAACCCTAAACTGGTATATCCATGACAAGTTTACCAAAAACTAATTTTTTTACCATGAAAAACCTCAAACTGGTACATTTATGATAAATTTACCCCAAATTAATTTTTTGACCATAAAAAACCTCAAACCGGTACACTTGTGACAAATTTACATTTCGTTAACTTCCGTTAAATTTTACCGTTAAATTTGCTGACATGGATGACACATGGTGATGTGGCAAGTCCACGTGGAAATCCACAGGATTAATACCACGAAAAACCCCAAACCGATTCAGTCAATTTGTCACAGGT